CTCATTTTACACGTGAGAAAACTTAAGGGGTTGCACAGCTAATTTTCCAAGGACACACAGCCCAAAGGGCAGAGCACTTTGGAATTCTGTTCCTTTGCCCATTGGAGCAGCTCTTCATGTTACCAATAAGCTTCCCTCTCTGGAATTAGAGCGTGTCAGATCTGAACTTAAAAGACGAGACATGTGATGGGTGGACATCCCTTCCACACACACACACCCATTCCCCAGCCTTTGCCTGACAAGCCCCTTTCCCTACCCTCTGTTGGCACACACAGCTCAGGGCTGAGGGTGGACACTGCTTCAGGCTCTGAGAGTGTTTGCAGGGCATCACACCTCCCTCAGGGCCACCAGGGAGCATGAACTAATTGTATTGACAAGTGGCATCTGGATTCTATTCAATTTTACATGAATCCTGTGTTGTTTATGAATTAATCTAACTTGGGAAACAGAGACTGGGGCCTCTGCTGTTTAATGAACAGACCTTCCCCTTGGGTTTGTCAAGTTCTGCAAGCCAGAGAGCACCACGGATTCTTGTTTATTGCTATACAGAAGGGGAGTCTTAAAAGTTGTGACTCTAAGGTTTTAACCAAGAGGAACTGGGAAAGGTCCCTTATTGGTCTATACATTAGATGTATCTGCTGGGAATCAAAGCGAGGTCTTCCCAGGATCTTAGAATCCCCACGTTTGGCTGCAGGTGGAGTAGGGACCAGAGGGGTCTCTACTTTTTCCCAGCTTGGGAGTGCTTGAGTTGGATTAATTTTATCCTGTTCAGAATATAAAATATGAAGCCAGACACACACTTACGATGGGGAAACCATATTTGTAGAATAAATTAGCCAACTCAAGCCTACTAGATAACAGCTATTTCATGAGCAGAAGGACAGGGACTGCTCTTGAGAAACAAACAAAAAAAGCAAGGCCATGAGACCTTGAAATCATTAAGAGGTGTTCATTTTCCAGCAGGAATGAGGTCCAGGCATGCTGGTTTCAGGTTCCTCCTTGCTACATAGATAAATGGCCAAAGGAAACATTATCCAAGCAGTTTCACATCAAAGGCTAAATGGCAAGCTGATCTTTCTTTTAATCTGGCCAATAACCAAGTGAGAATTAGACAATGTACATGTTTAAGAAGAGGACTTCATGCCGTTCCAGAGTGAATTTTCCCATGCTCTCATTCCCAGCTGGTCCCACAGATGAGCAGTTGTTGTTATGAGACATTCAGTGTGGCATAGAATAGAGAGCCTGGCCAGCCTGCGGGTCAGGTAATCACTCTACAGAGGGTCTGCACAATGTGTTGAATATACAGGACTGAAACTTGGGAGAAGTCACAGCTGCATTCATCCCCCTTGCCCCTAGTTGGCTTGAGATATTCAGATGACGTCAGATCTCCAGGCAAGGAAGCCCTTTTGGAAAACTGCAGGATAGTATTTTAGAAAGGCAGGGTCTACACGTAGGATGGCCTCAAAGCTAGGTGAGAAATGATGAATTCTGATGTCTACAGACTGATCAGCAAAGCAACAAAGAATATTCTGTTTTTGCTTTTTGTAGTTTGGAGTTGTGTGTATACAACATGAGGTCTCAGAACAAGTGAAGAAATAAGCATATATCATCCATGATGTTGTTTAATCCACACTCAGCTCTATGAAGTAGGCAGGAATGATACCGTGATCCTACAGAGAAGGAAACAGAGGCCCATGGAAATTAAGGAACTTGCCCAAAGACACACACACCTTGTAAATGGTAGGCAAGGGACTCTGCTTGAGGACTTCTGATCATATGTATGACCCTTTCATGCAACTTGTTTTCACTTGGCACATTGCTAGTCAGCCACCACCATGGGCAAAGTCATCACTCTGGAATACCCACCAAGCAGACATGGGGAAGGTACCACATTACTCTGAAGTGAATGAGTGTTCCTGGGAAGGGGTTCTGATGAGATCGCATGGGAAACCACTGACAGGTGGTTGTGAGTTACCTTAGACTGTAAGATTTACAAGGGCAGCAGCCATGTTTGGCTTGCCGTCTATTCTCAGCACCTGTGCCAGTGCCTAGTGGAATAATCATTTGTGGGTGGGAGGGGAGTAAGAAGAAAGCGGAGAGAGAGAGAGAGAGAGAGAGAGAGGTTAATTTCATAGGATCACTGGTTATACAGTGTTAGCACTTCCCTCATCAGCTAGCAGGGACCCATATGAAGATTAAGACTGTGTCATGTATTTTCTAGCCTCATTGGCTTCATCAGTTTTCCACTGTCATCTTCTTTCTTTTTTAACTCCCACTTTTAATTCATGTGATGGTTAGTATAACTATTACATTTTAAGGATTCTTTTTTTTTCTTGAGTTAGAGTCTCACTATGTCACCCAGGCTGGAGTGCAGTGGCATGCTCATGGCCACCGCAGCCTTCACCTGCTGGCCTTAGGCGATCCTTCCACCTCAGCCTTCCAAGTAGCTGGAACTACAGGTGCACGCTACCATGCCTGGCTAATTTTTTTTTTTTTTTTTTTTTTTTACTTATTGTAGAGACAACATCTCACCAAGTTGCCCGTGCTAGTCTCAAACCCCTGGACTCAGGCAATCCTCTTGCCTCGGCCTCCCAAAGTGCTGGAATTATAGGCTTGAGCCATTGCGCCCAGTGGGAACTAGTCTCCAAAAAAAGGATTCTTATAACTGATTTTAATATTTCTGAATTTTTAGTGAACCCCAAACACTAAAAACCAAATACATGACTATATAAATACCTATCACTGGCAACGAGCATTTCTGTTCTGGCTGCACCTGCACCCCTCCCCCTGGCAAGAATGTTGCCAGTATGAAGCTAACAAAGCCTGAGTGGGGATTTTTTTCTCCCAGGAGTCCTGATATTCCTCTTCTTTTTATCTCTCTAAATTCTATACACTCTTTAACACCTATTCCAAGGCCAGTTTCCTCCTCCCCCAGCTACTCAAGGCTCCAATTTCTTCTAAGTTATTAGCTGTGAGCTCCTGTCCTCCATCTGTGGCATTCTGAGCAGGTCATAGAGTGGAGAGGAGAATGCAGGGGCACCAGATATCCTGGCTGGTGAGGGTGAATCTGCAGGAAGGCTCAAGAAAAGGGCCTGCGACTGTAGCGGCTATCCTTGAGCATGGGGGAGCTCTGCCAGGCCACACAGCTCCCAACTGTAGAGCGTGGCACTGCCCATCAACTCCTGCAGCCAATGGATACCATAGTCTCTACTTCATTGAGAGAGGCCAGTTCAAAAGCCCCTCGTGCAAGGGCTCCCCACACCATCCTTGTCTTCTCCATCTCTTTGCTGTCAGCCCTCTTCAACACTCCCTTGGGTTTCTGGGGTGTTACAGCTGTAGAGCTTCCCTCCTATTTCTCTGACTACAGCCTCATTTCATTTGCTGGTCTCTCTCTCCCTGGCCCTGGTTTTATTCTCTCTCTCTGTATTTCGAGCCATCGGTTCCATGTTCCTGCCATAGTCCCTTCTATACACTCTTTAATATCTATTCCAAGGCCTAGTCCCCTGAGCCAAGGTCTAATATCTACCTCCAATTGCATGCTGGAAATTTCTATCTGGATGTCTCTTGCTCACCCCACAATTTACAAAAGCCCGAAGTCAAGATCTCTCCCCAAAACTGTGTCCCATGTAAATAAAATAAAGCTACTACAAAACACCATCAGCAATGTGAGCTCTTGGTGTGTTTCGGCTTCTATAGTGGCGAGCAGCACTGCCATCTCCCTACTCACCCAGGTTTGTAAACTCACTCTCTTCTTTTTATTCTTTTTATCAAGCTCTGGTAGTTTCTCCATTGATTTGTTTCCTTCCTCTCCAGCCCCATGCCCAAGCTCGTAATATACCAAACTGACCTTTTCGTCAGTCTCTCCTTCCACCCACTTTGCTCCAGATCAGCATGCCCTAGCCACTCCAACTCAAAACTCACTGGTGACTCCCTATTTTCTATTCCATTGCCAGTGAACACCTCTGGCTGACCCCAAGGCCCTCTGTAGTCCCACCAAGTGCCAGCATGCAGCGCCTGCTCTCCTCACTCACAATGCCAAGTGTGGCTTTGCTGGGCCTGTGTTGGCCATTCCTTTGACCAGGAAAGGGTTCTTATGTCTATCATTTTCCAGATTCCTACTGGCCATACATGCTGCAATCTTTCCAAAAGACTTTCAAATGATTGCTCCATGCCATGTCTTTCTCATTTTCTTCCTGAGGGCATCAACATTCAGAGCACTTGGCAGATTCACAGGGAGCCCTGCAGCTTATATTTCAGAGCCCACCTTGTGCCCCTGAGGGTACAATCTCACATGCTCCATTTGTTTCTCTGAAGGACAAGATACCAGAAGACACAGCAAAGAACTCCAGTCCAGAGCAATGCACCTCTTCCCCCAAGTCGCTTTTACTCTGGGATTAAGTCATTAGGTTTAGTTTTGTCTCATTTGATCAAAACATAGGTGGAGATTCTGAAGGCTGGAAGGAGCAATGTGCAGTTCTATAAAGGGTGGGAACCATTCTCCAAAAGCTCAGCTCTGAAAACACACAGAGAGAAAACAAGCTCTAGCTTGTTAGTCCCCATTTACAGATTTCTTTTCACAGCTGCAAAAATATTTCATCAGGTTGTCAGCCTTTGACTTCATTTCACTTTGGTAAATAAAAATAAAGCTACTACGAAACGCCATCAGCAATGTGAGCTCTTGGTGTGTGTTGTGCTCATTTGTGAAAACAGGCCCTAGCAACTCCTCTGTAGTTCAGCTTTCGTGGAGCCTATTTTGAATGAAACTTGTCATTTCATATATTTCATACATGGTTATACTTATTTGCCGGCCAAAACTATATGCACAAATATATTTTAAGTTGGGTCAGAGAATAAGGGCTTTGTTCACCTTCATGCATTCTGTAAAAATACCCATCTAGACTTCTGCTCAGTAACGCAAGATAAACACAGATGAAAAAACTCAGAACCCAAATATACTTAGTATGACACAAAGACAAACACAGCCAAATAATCCCAAGGAGTACACAATATAAATGCTTTATTGCTAGCACAGAGGATTCTTTTTAAGTAAATTAAAAGAAATAAACCTTCATTTTCACATTCTATATTGCAGTCCAAAGGTAACTAGTTGGTTAATGGACATGTCCACTTGGACACATGCTATAGGAGAAGAGCATGGCATTCACATGGAAGAACTCAATGGTGTCTGGCAGGGCTCAAGGCATCAGGCTGCTGAATGCACTGTCGTTTGTAAGTAACAGCAAGTAGAGACTTTTCCAAAACATCATAGATAGGTAAAAGTTATAAATAGAAAACCAGTATGGTCAGAAAGCAGAAAATCATTAAATACAGAAGGCTATATATATGTTGCCAATACTCCACATACTCTAAGTTATGTTTGGTACTTTTAAATAAATGATCTGCATCTAGGTTAGAGACTAGATTGGGTTTGGCAGCCGGAAGGAGGAAAGAAGGAAAGGAAGCCAACACTGCCCACATCAAACGGTGAATTCACCGGAAAGCAGAAGAGGAGAGTGTGGTTGGAAAGAAAGGGAGACGGGCTTGCTTGCCGCCTCCTACTCTGTAGGCTACTGCCCGCTGGGAGACAGGCAGGCATGGTGGGGTGTGGATGAGCTGCTGGGCGTGACAGAGGAGCTCTGGTGGAGCATGCAGTCCTGGCACACTGGAGCTCTGCAAATGGAAAAGGAAATCCCGAGGCGTGGCCAGGTTTTCCAAGATTCCTGCCAATGGATGTAGGGGACATTAGTAGGGCATGATAGGCCAAAGTAACACCGGCCACATTGGGAGTAGCAGGTGTTGGTGCAGGGGGCCTGGGGTGCAGAAGAAGTGATAGATTCCAACTACAGAAAGAATTCACTTAGTAAGAATTGTCACCCAATATTAGAAACAGAATTATTTCTGCAAGGCGTCCAGCATTATCAAATTCTTGAGCCTAGTTGGATTCTTTTTTCTTCTGTTGGTTCCAAGATAAGCTTTGGAAAAGATCTTATCTATCTCTGAAACACAACCTGCCCCCTGCTTTATTCCAGAATAACTAAGAAGGAATTAAAAGCACACACATATAAAACAAAACCGTGCAGCAAGCTCAGAAGCTGTGAACCACACATGATGACCTCCAGGCTCTATCACCCTCTTTCACTCATGTTATTTATGGATATAAGAAAACCAGATTGCAACAGGAATATCCCAAGTGCTTATTACATCTGTAGTGTACCAGCTCCTGGCATTTTCAGTCTGGTCTGATTCTAACTAAAATCATTTCATGTTTTGCTTTGAAGAAATGGATAACATGAAATGGTAATTTGGCTGCAAAACCTTGGAAAATTGTTCCTGGCCCAAACATCTGTACCAAAATGAGCTCAGCTGAGATCTCCTTGGAAGAGAGGGAGGGGTGGGTGAGTGGCGAGAGCCTGGAAGGAGGGAAAGGAAGACAGTGGAAAGACCACCTTTTCTCAAGAGGAAAGTTATTGGTGACAAAGGCATCAAATAATACAGCTCCCTTATTTTGTCCCTTGCTCCAGGAAGAGATACTGGATGTGCCTGATAACTTCTCCTCTTACCCTTCTTCCACTTGCCCAACTATTTGATACCATTAAGCTGATCCCCTGCAGAGTGCCAAGAAAGTGTGCCCAGCTGGTTTGCTTCAGTTGTGCAGCGACCTGCCTGACCTACATGTTATCATTTCAATTTTTAAATAAGGACCGTGACTCCACTTTGTATTCCTGAGAGCTGGGCCCTACAGAGAAAGCAGAGAAGAACAGACGGGCAGGCTGGCCTTCATCTTCCTTCCTGGCCTTCTTAGGAGTTCTTCTGGGGGATCTTTACTGTCACAGTCTTAACTTCTGAGTACTCTCGCAGACCAAATTCTCCCCTAAAACACAGAAATGGGAAGTATCAGATACCAGAAGCTCAGGCAGCTGCACCTGAATGATAGTGGGTATCCTGGGAAGGTTCAGTGTATCACCTGCCAGCAGCAGGTCCTGAGGTTTTCACATAAAAATTCCTAGTGGATGGACAGCCCAGTCTCTTCTGAGAGGCAGAGAAAGTTGTCATCTCATGAGACATGAGATACCTTAAAGTTAACCATGTCCTAAAGTTAAAGGATGACTTATCTTCACAATGTTGCAGAGGAAGGCAATGACTCCCAACTACTCCAAGAGCCAGGCCTGGGGTTAGTCGGGGCCAGAGGCACACAGACACCCTGGGCTGCTCTCCTGGGCTGAGTGCCAAGGGCAGAAGCAGGACCAGGCCCCAGGTCTCTGAACACCTTGGCCTTGTTGGTCACCACAAGACCACACTGGTTCAGTACTAGTTCCTCAGGACAGTGGTGTGCTTTCCTCCTCTAAAACCCCCTTCCTGTCACTGGATACCCTCTGGATGTCTGTTCTGATTGCACAACTAGAGACCTAGTCCATGTTAACTGAAAAGAAAGGTTGAGATTCCCAGGCTAGAAACCTCTCTGTCTGGATCCTGTTCTAGATTCCTTTACATTGTTCCTTCAATTCAATAAATGCGAATGAATACCTTATGGCCTACCATGGGAAAGCAGAAGTCATCCACAATTATATTAAAAACCTAACCCTGAAAATGTACAATCCAGTCCCCACTGAGTCAGGGGAAAGACTTTAGGAAGCAAAAATAACTCACTAATAAAGAATTGGCAAGATGGCAAGCTTTCCCCCAAGACTCTTCTTTGGCCCCTTCCCCTCTGGGATCTTGGTCACGGATCAAGGACTGCCATTCATTCAGCCAATAAACATTTATTGAGCTATTAGTATGAGCAGCATTACGCTGGGCTCAGGGCAAGAAAAACTACCAGCTCTGAGGAGCTTGTAGGTGGTGAAAACTGAGTGGGAGCAGGGTCACCTGTCTGTTTCTGGCTCCCTGGGCACTTCCCAGAAGCGGAACTCTGGCATGTGGCACAGCCTGCTTGCTGTGATGATGCTCTTTCTCTTCTGCCTCTCTTTTCTCCTTTTCACCTTGTTTCAATAGTCTTTTTTTTCCTATTTCATTATAAAATCAAGTATGTTCTCCTAATTCTTCGCTTTAAAATAACTTTTTTTGTATTCTTTTTAAAGTAATTCCTCAGTGAAGCTTTTCCCGACAGCCTATGGAGAAGGAGCTCCTTTCTCTACCTGTAGTCACAGAGCCCCCTGTCCTCACCTTGACCAAAGTACTTATCACACCAATAGGATGCCTTCAGCATCTCTGTCTCCCCCACTGACTTGTATGCTATTAAGTTTGCTTTTTTCTTCCACCAAATATAGTGTTTCCTTCCACCAAACAAACTTTATGCCTATGGTCTCAGGCACAATGAAGGCACTTGGCGGCTGTGGGAGGAAAGAAGGGGAGGAAGGAAAAGGGGAGGAAAGAAGGGAGGAAAAGAGGGAAGGAGGGAGCTCTTCCTATTCCTGCTTCCCCAGTTTCCCCCTGTTGCCATACTGTCTCCAACAGAAAAAAATTAGAGAACACTGAGAGATGTATTTGATATGAAAGGATTCAGAAAGGCTGTCTTTTAAAATAGCATTATAAAAGGAACAAGGTTACTGTAACTAGTTTTACAAGAGAGACTTGCTGTAAATGATTTGTTCTGGTCCCTTTCAGGAAGCCCCATGATCCTACCCAAGGCTCCATCTACTTTGCCAGCAGCTTCTTTGAGCACCAAGGGCACCTGAGTTGACAGGGCCCCCAGGACATCAGGGGCAGCCAAAGAAACACTGGGACAAGCATGCTGTTCCCTTGTCTTCATAGTCATTTTACTCAGAGGAATGAGAAAAATAAACTTGGATTATCCACTCATTACATGGTTCCCTCATTAACTCCATCCAGGCTCTGGGTCTTTTTATTACCAGTTCAGCTCTGGCTTTCTCTGCCCTTTTTCCTGCCCTCGGGCAATTCTGAATGTGTCTCTTCATCATGGACATCGTGTGCCTCCTATTTGAAGTGAGTTTACTCCCTCCTTATTTCCTGGCTTGTGCACGCACTTGAGGCAGACCTTGAACCACACTTCCCTCCCACTTGGCTCTCTGACTAGGCTGTGAGAAGTGTAAGAATGTCTACGGAGTCAGAAGTCTCGTGCTATAGTTGCTTTTGTGGGTGACTTTGGCCCCAGTCTTCGGGTGCATGCTACAATGGAAGGGCCTGCTGACCTGGAACAGCCTGTTCCAAGATAGAGAGGTGGACTCAAATCTGCTATCAAAAGAAAGCCTGCCGTGTATCCACGACATCCAGAAAAGTCAGTGAGAGGTATCATAGCTGTGTGACTGAGGCAGCGGGAGTGGAGAAAGAACACTGGAGCTGGGGTCAGCATGCAGTGGTTCGGCTCTGCCATTAATCGGCTCAAGGATTCCAGCTGTCTTACCCCCATCCTACTGGGGCCCAGTTATCTCCTTAGCAGTAGTAGTTTCTGAACCTCAGCATATATAAACATCACCTTGCTTAAACTGTAGATTCTTGAATGCTAGCCACCCTCTCCCCAAGACTCTGTTTCAGTAGATCTGGAGGGGAACTCAGAAGACTGTGATACAGGTGATCATTTGGCCGACACGTTGAGAAATGCTGCTTGAAAGTCACTGAAAGTCCAGCAGTTTGGATTCTTCAACAATTTCGCCATCTCATTCCAGGATCTTTCTCTCAAGTTTATTTACTCCAGTTAAATTCTGTGGCACATATCGTTCCTCAGTTAACAAGGAAGAAACCCATGCTACACAAAAGGTAGACATATCATTATCGATGCATGCCAATCTCTTTGCGTGATCACCTGCATAGCTGGACAGTGAGCACAGATACATGTAGATGAGGCAACATTCCCTAAGAGAACCCAAACTTGGCACACCTAAGACATAAGGCAACATGTTAGATGTCAGTGGCTCTCAGCCAGTCATTTTAGAAATCACTCAAATTCACTCATAAAGCAAATAAGGATTTATGTTTAGGGTCTATATTTTCCTGCTCTTTTTCTTGGCTTGCAGCAGCATTTCTCAGAGTAAGGTCCCCATACCACCTGCATCAGAATCAATCCAGAAGCTTGTTAAAAATGCATATCCTGGGCCCTACCCCGGATCAACTAACACAGACTCTCTAAGAGTGGGTCCCAGATAGGCATGCTTAACAAAGCCATCATCTAGACTGCAGGTGACCTTTTTCTGTGCACATGCACAGACACATCTTGAGAAGCCTTGACTGAGAGTATCTAACAGTGCTTCTCTTTTTCAAAGCCTGTGTCTCAGTTTTTAAATACTGAGGTTCACAGCATTCTTTCCATTCCCTTGGTTCGTGACATGTTTTATGGCTTGAGCTTTACCACCTCTCATCTGAGGGGGAGCTTAAACAAGAAAGTAAGGAAAAGGACAGCAGATCAAAACAGATAGAATTAGCTGGGAAGGCAGAACTGAGGAAAGCTCAACTGAGTCTGACCCTGGCAATTAGGGGCCAACCCAGCAGATAACCTGTAGAGGGCAGCCCACCCCGCAGCTTTCTGTGGAGAGACCCCATGGACTAGGCCAGCCCTTCCTGGAGTTTGTTTCCGTAAGTGCTACTTCCCTTCTCTGCTCCTCATAGAGGTGGACAGGGAGGTGTCAGGGATCAGAGTGCATGGAATTTGCAGGCCATGAGTTAATTCCATCCAGATGGAGGGTTAAGTGGAGTTTCTGAAGTTGTATCAAATGAGATGCAACAATTGGGGACCAAGACAGAGCAAGTTCTTGTATTTGAAGCATTTCCTACCACTCTAGATCATTTAAGGAAGAGAAAACATGTTTTCAGGGTAAACAGAGAAAAGAACCATGTAATTCAGACAACGTGAAATGGGTCTCATCAAAGAGAACCATTTCCTAATTATTTTTTAGCTGCACAGGGAAGGCCAATCACTATAGTGCCTATGAGACAAGTAGAGAGAAACTGTTCTTTAGTCTCTTGGCCACTGCTATGTGTGAAGTTCTGACACAGGTCAACTGTCTACAAGACCATCTTTCTAGGCAAGGATAAGATTCCCATGGTAATAGACTAGACCTGGATATCACAAGCTGGAGTTCTGCCCATGATGAGGGACCAGAGCTAGCCTGGGATTACACTCCATCAACCAGCGATCGTTTATTGCAAGTACATTTTATGCTGGTGACTCACCCTGTTAATGATCTGTAACAAAACAGTCAATGCAAGCAACATTCCCAGAGCCAGTGACTGCCCCAACATTGCAGAGACCAGGAGAGCACAGCATAGAAGCAGGAAATGAAATAATAAGCAGAATGCGTCTTGCAAAGTGGAAACAGAAAGTTAAGGCCATATGCAAATAAAGAAGAGATACTGGCATACATGAAGACTTTCTACAAGCTGAAGGAAGACTAAGAAGCGAGTACACAGGGCTACAGGTTCTGGCTGTAAAGTAAGGGAGAGGTGTAGGGGCCAAAAACAAAAGTTCAAATGAGCATAGTTTCTCCAGGGCATTAGCAGAGACAGAACATACGTGGGTGACACTAGCTGGAATTTAGGAAAAATTCTGCCCAAGTAACAGGCTTGTAAAGATAAAGAGGAATGACTTACATAACACCCAGCTACTTGATTAATAATGATGATAGCAGCTAACATTTGCTGAAGGCTTACCAAACACTCTGCTGGGTGTGCGCATACTTACTCTAACACTTAATCCTCATAGCAACCCTCTGAGATAGGTACTGTAATTATTCCCATCTCACAGATGAGGATGTTGAGGCTTAGTGAGACGCAGAATTCGAATTTGAGTGGTGTAGTCCTAGAAACTGCTCTTAACCTCAAAGTTATACATACTTTATGGTTTAATTATTAGGAGCTAGAAACTATCAGCTAAAATAAACTATCTGGAGTATGTAAGTCCTCTGCTCTAGTCTTGTGGGCTCACTAGATTTCCTCCGAACACTACACTTATTTCCCCCACTGCTACCCTGTCTGCCCCCCAACCTTGGAAAATATATCCCCCTTTCTCTATCTTCCAAGTGCCCCTCTCCTTGAAAGCCCATTTCAAATCCCTGTACCAGGTCTTATCTAAAGGTTTCCTAGATTTTTCCAGCGGTCAATGATCCCCCACCCCTGAACTTCTCCATCACTTACAATCTTTTCTGGAATTCTTCTGATTCCTGTGACGTTTTATATTCCATTTACTCAACAACACTTTAAGTGCCTTAATGAGCTTCACCTTCCTCCACAGACTAAGCACAGTGGTTTGTACATAGTTTATACTCAATACTTGTTAGCAGATTAACTGTAAACTAAGCATTTGCTCAAAGTATGCACGAAATAGTGGCAGACGGAAAGAGGAAGGAACATGTTTCCTTGTGTGGATGGGTCATAGGTCTCGGAAAATATGGATGAGCTCCTTTCAGAAAGAGGGAAAGTGGGGTTTTTCTGGATGGGGCACGTGTCACTCAGAAAGACCCTGGTTACCATTCGTCCTGTAAATGTCACTCAAAACATTCACTTATATTGAAGTCTGCAAATCAAATCCTTTCTAAGTCTAGTTTATCTTTGCTACAGCGCTGTTTTTCAGGTTCTTCGCACCTCGGGAGGGCTCTGTCTGGCTCTGAACCTGTCCCTGAAAAGTCTCTGTGCCTAGCTCCTATGATTCTTTGGCTGGATACCACGGGAGTTAAGTGCATTTAGAGCCACTGAGATCCAGGTTCAAACTTCTCATCTACCACTTACAGGCTGTGCAACTTGGCAAAACTACTTAACCACTCTAAATCTTAGTTCCTCATCTAGGCCATCTGTAATATAAAGGTAAGTATATCTATCCCATAGAATCATTGTGAAAATCATGACACAATGTTAGGAAAGAAGTTAGCATGAAGCCAGATAAACAGCGGGCACTTAATTAATGACATCTGCTGTTATCTGAATGTCTGTGTCCCTTCAAATTCATATGTTGGAAGCTAATACCTTGTGTGACAGTATTAAGAGGTGGGGCCTTTGGAAAGTGATTAAGTCACAAGGGCTCCATCATTATAAAAGAGGCTTGAGTGAGCTCCCTTACCCCTCCTATCGTGTAAGGGCACAGAAGGCACCATGTGTGGGGAATGGGCCCTTATCAGACACCAAATCTGCTGGAACCTTGATTTCAGCTTCCAGAACCATGAACAACACATTTCTACTATTTATAAATTACTCAGTCTAAGGAATTTATTTTGCTATAGCAGTCTGAACAGACTAAGACAAATCTTATTGTTATTGCAAAATTTTTCTAACTGTTGTCTTCTAGTCTCTGTCAAGATTTCCTCTATATGCCAGGACTCTTAGCTTTAAAAACTCAGGCATCTCCTGTTCCCACGCAATTTCCCTTAAAGCCTCTGAACTGTGGGTTTAAACCAACCTTTCCACCTGTATCTTCACCAAGTCCCCTTCACTGCTTCTATGTCCTAACCCTACAGTGCCAGAATCAAGGACCATGTAGGGGATGAGCAGGTGATGCAGGGGAACAAACTAGGTGCATGTAAAATAAAAGGCAGCCAATACTCAGCCCCCAAGGTAGCAGCTGGGGTAGGGGATACAGCAAACTGCAGAGCTCACAGCTCCAGAGATCTGTTATGGGGGAATGGAAATGAGCAAGAAATCAAGATGTTAGTGAAGCCTCCTCATTGTTGAACATCAGGTAAAGATTTTCAAATGTTGTGAAGGCAAAACAAAACATTTCTGAGGGTCAGATCTATCCCCAGGGCTGGCAGCTGTGCCCTTCATGTTAAGCACACTAAACTCCATTCTGGTCCCTGAGTAATTCACATTGGTTGTGCTTTCATGCCTTTGTTTCTGCTATTCCCTTAGCCTGGAATGCTTGATCCTAAAAAACTGAAATATTATTTCCCCTGTGAAGTTTTCTCTGACCTCACCAGCCAAAAATAATTGATTTTTCCTCTATACTAAACAAGAGGTTTGACATACTTTTATAATAGTCCTTATCATATGGAGTTAGTGGTACAATAATTTTTCTCTGTTCTCACTTCAGGTAAGAGAATTGTAACATGTAGTACTTAGCTTACTGTAGTATGTGCTCAACAAAATGTTTGTTGAATGAATGAATGAGCTTGAGATAAACTATTTTTAAAGTATGCCTCTGTGTTAATTTTGCAATCCCTATTTCTCTGCAGGCCTTGGCAACTTTGACACTTACATTTCTCTCCCATTTCCAGACATCTTGAATCCCCCAAAGGGGCTCTGGGCATTTAAGGCATTGTAACAATTGATCCTGAAAGAAGAAAACACAGTACTGTGAGTTAGTGTAAATTTTGCCTGCACAGAAATAGTATGATTAGCATGGTATTTCTTTTAAAAGCTTTTAAAAAAATTATTTCTTTCAGATTTATAATTTAAAATTTATTTGATTTCCTGATCTAGCCAGTAAGGAGCGGGTCCTTTGCCCAGGGAAGTCTGGCTGCTTTCCCATCCTTCCAGAGGATATGTGTTTATTTCACCCTGACCCCTATACCACCAGTGGAATTTGTTAAGGCTGGAACAATGAGACTGACTGATCTTACCAAACAGTCCCAGCTTGCATTGCAGAAGACACTGTGAGGGCCTTGTTGATGTCATTAGTAAAGACAGCGGCTACAAGTCCAAAGTCTGAGTTATTGGCTCTTTCGATAACTTCATCCATAGTCTTAAACCTCAGAATTTCCTGAACAGGGCCAAAGATCTGCAACAAAATAGTTTGACTAAACATGGTTGCTTTGTCATTTCCTTACCTTCTGCTTTTGTTTATTTAAATGACACTAAAGTTAGCCAGGTGTGGTGGCTCATGCCTGTAATCCCAGCACTTTGGTAGGCCGAAGTGAGAAGATTGCCTGAGTCCAGGGGTTCGAGATCAGCCTGGGCAGCCTGGCGAGATCTCATCTCTACAATTAAAAAAAAAAAATAGCCAGACATGGTGACGCTTGCCTGTGATTCCAGCTATTTGGAAGACTGAGGCTGAAGGATCACCTGAGTCCAGCAGGTCGAGGCTGCAGTGGCCATGAGTGTGCCACTGTGCTCCAGGCTAGGCAACACAGTGAAACTCCAACTCAAAAAACAACAACAAACAAAAAGACAAAAAAACACTAAAGTTTAGCAGCACGAAACTGTAAAATACACCAGACTTTGCCAGGATGAGATTATATAAAAGTTTAACACCCTACTCCCCCAACCTCCCTGGCACTGCTTGATTACACTGAGTGTACTGGGTGTGTTCTTTAGGTACAGAAGAGCAAGTGGCAATCTCCAGGAACCCCAAACACTGTTCCAGAACTGACTGCTCTGGATTGCTGGCTGATGTGCTCCTGGCTCCTCCCCTACACAAATGTAAGGGTGCTTGAGTGTTTTTCTGAATTAACAGCCCAGTGATCCACTTGGGGGAGCTGAACTGTTGCCAGAGTATTACTGAGGCCACTAGTTGGCTGTTCTGATTGTTCTGTTGGCTAATAATAATCATAAGCACGTAGCATGTCACCTATTCTCCATCTAGCTTGCTTGGCTTTTTGTTTAACTGCTTTCTTGAAACTGGGATTTTCATAGCCGTGTTTATTGCTATTGCAAAATGAGTATATATAAAATATAAAGGGCTGAAACTCTAATATCATCTACTAGAAATGCTCCAGAAACCAGATGCAGCTTTGGTAAGAACACCATGTTTGATACCTCCTCCTTGGCAATCCGCATATCATCAGTGACATTGGAAAACACCGTGGGCTCAATGAAAAATCCCTTCCGGCCCAGTCCTTTTCCTCCACACTCCAGCTTGGCACCTTCAGCCACACCACTCTGGATGAGCTCCAGGATCTTGTTGTACTGTTTCTTATCGATCTACAGGAGAAATGACCTCATGACTCCAAATGCAACCATCTATGCAAATGGAAATAAGCATGTTCTTGAGAATCTGTCATTTATGAATTTTTTGAAGTTTCACTATACCTAGCCAAATCACATGACACTGATGTTGTTTACCAATTTTTGACCTATAAGCAATGGCAATTTTGTATCCCTCCACCTAATACATCAAGGAGTTCAATAAATGTACTGCTTGATGATATTGCCTAATCAGCAGTACCAATTAAGGATTTAGAAGGTGTTTCAAAATGGTGGAGATGCTGGCTAATTCATTAATTAATTCATTGTTGATAAATGAGGAAAAATTGACTTCTATAATCAAATAAATAATTTAGCAAGTTGCATTGATATTAAAAGATAGAGACAATAGACAAATGAACACTCAGTCTCTTGACATAGTGCTGCCCACCAAGTCTCATCGGGGTTTATTTTAAAGGAATTCTTATTGTACTTTTAGAGGAACTTTAGTTTAAGTGTAAAGAGTGAGCTTCCTAGTCCAAAAAGATAAGGTCAGCCTTGCCCCCCAAAACAGATAGAAAGTTATCATTCACTTATCAAGGTAAATGATGCAAAAACCTACATTCACTCAAGTTTTAATTGCTTATCTAGAAAATCAATCTTTTCTCAAATGACCCCCAAACTGAGATGTTGTCCATTACCAGGAAAATCCATGCCCTACTGCCCCAGATGAGAGCTAGTCCAGATATCCTTTTAAACATTCTCAAACCCTGTCTACAGGTGAAAACCAGAATTCCATTTGGAAATATGCCTTGATCATTACGAAGAACCTGCAGAGCTAGAGTACAGCCTGGTCACTCAGGAGAAACTTTGTGGCCCTCCCCACCCCACCACAGTGCATGAAGTATTCAGAGTAAGAGCTCACTATACAAGGGAAAGTCAGCCAGCCCTTGATTTCCTGGACATTCACAAGCTACAAATGATCTGTCCAGACTACATCAGGTTGGTGAAGAGACTCTTTGGAAAGCAGAACTAACCCACCCTTCTTGATTGTGGCACCTGTAGGAATGTCTTGAAGTTCAGTGGTAAGAAGGACTGGGGTGGGGTTCTAGTGTCAAGATCCATCTTTCCATGCCCAGGATTTCCTTTAGAACTGAGAGACTCTAGCTTACCCCCAAAGTCCAAAATATGCTTAAGGCAACCCTCGTCCTACAGTATTTCAGAGAAAAAAATTTAGCAAGGGAAAGAGAAGCCAGATACGGAAGCAATCCCTCCCTAGCTACATTTTCAGCCAAGAAGACATGGTAGAAAAGTAAGGAGGCAGCTTTGCTGGGTCCCGCTAGAGTGCCAGTTTCTGTGCCAGTCAAGGATTAAGTTTGCAGAGGGAATGGTTATGATTTTTCTACCTGGGGACCTTGCTCTGTGGTGGGGTCAAAGGGACTCCCCACGATGCGTCTCTTGGCCCGCTCCACACTTCTTCTCACAAACTCCTCATAGATGGACTCCTCCACAAAGATGCGAGACCCTGCGGTGCAGCACTGGCCTTGGTTGAAGAACACACCCTGGTGAGCCTGTTCCACAGCATAGTCCACTACAAGAGGAAACAGCCATGTTCTCAGCACTGCTTGGCCTGGGGAGAGGCCTGTCTATGGCCTCCCGCCCTCTAAGCCCCCGGTAATAATTCTGTGCTTACCACAGAGCACAACAGTGAATAACATTGGATTGAGAAGGCAACTTAGTTCTAACAGACCTTGACATTACTTGCTATGTGAACTTAAACAAATTCACTTTTGTAAGTCTCTTTTTTATTCTGTAAACAGTGGGATTGGCCCATATCCGCTGTAACAGGAGTCTCAGTTCGCAATATGCAAAAGGACTACGAGGTAGGGGTAAAGGTATGATTCTGCCAGATGGTAGAGCAACGTCATGGAGACAAAGATGGGAAGAAGCCACTCCATGTGACTGTTGCCATGTACGAATATAAGCCTGGGGTTGCCAGATCGTTCCAAGTTTAAGAAAAATCAGAAATCACTACCTTTAATGTACAGTTTTTGTTTTTTTAAGCATAGTGAAATGTTTAGACAGGTAAAGTTTAAACTATGTTCTAAACAATATATTCTATATGTTTAGACATTAAATTAGCAATTTGCCAGTTTATAACCCCAAATCTATAGGATCTTGTAGCTGTATGTTTAGTATTGTGGTGATTACACTAACAGCAATGAATCTTCTTTGAAGTCACTAAATTTACTCTGTAGTGACATGGAATTGTGTAACAGCATATGATAACTCTTCCGTTTTCATCTCTTATACTTCAAAACAGTACTGATTAATTTGGTCTTTCCTAGTAACCAAATAACCGACTGACTGGCAGAATGAATGAATGAATGTCATGCGGATGGAATGCTTACTCCTCAGGAGGAATAGGTATGAGAATTCTGATCCCCTTGACAACTTGTATAAAGCTAAAACTGAACTCTGAAAATTCCAAGCTGAGGTGGAAACTCAAGTGATCTGTTTTCCGTTTTCTGATCTCTCTGGTGGTGAAATTGGGAAAGCAGCTCTCCCAAGCAAAAAAAAAAAAAAAAAAAAGAATCACTGAATGAGATTTTTGAGTTTCCTTCCCAGGCGAGCTTTTCAAAACAGAAAGATCACACCTGTGCAGAATGGACTAGGCAGCATCCTTCCTGGAGACATAGGGTTTCTCAGATTACCACTCTAAGCCTCTGTGAGGTCCTACTGGCAAAATGTGAGCACCTCAGCTTTAGGACTACCCAGCTGGCCTGAGTGTGTGTTCATCCTAACTGAAAATCATGGGAGCAGCAGAAAGGGGTTGGAATGACTAAACAGAGAAGGATTTGGGAAAATGCTGGCAGGCTAGTGAAGCAGGATTAGTTTGTAATGATCTACCAACTACCAGGCACAGCTGAAAAGTTACATATTTCTTGAGTCTAGGCAGAGGGACTGTAATTCAGGTGTTTGGTAGCTGCGGCCACTGCTCTTTCTACTTCATGCTACTGACCAAGCCTTCATCTCTTCTACTCTATTCTCTCAAATCATAGAGTCAAAATTCACCTCTAGAAACAACTGTTCAGTTTTCAATTAATGAAGTGCTCCTTCCCCCACATTAAATTTTTTTTCCTCAGAAGGAGATCTTCTTCATTTCCCTTAGCTTCAAAGATCTTTTTCTTTAGTATCCCATCAAAACAGGAGATATAAAGAGAGCACCAAATGGTAGTGTGCTGGAACATGTATGAGATTTGTGTTTGACTTACAATCAGCATCGGCAAAAATAATATTAGGACTTTTTCCTCCAAGTTCCAGAGTTACTCTCTTCAAATTACTTCTTCCAGCTGCTTCTTGGATAAGTTTTCCAACCTGGAAGAAAGAGAATAGAGAGAGGTTTTTCTTTTTTTTTTTTTGAGTTGGAGTCTCACTCTGTCACCCAGACTGGAGTGCAGTGGTTGCTCCTGGCCACCACAGCCTCGACCTGCTGGGCTCCAGAGATCCTTCTGCCTCAGCGTTCCAAGAAGCCGAAATTACAGGCGCGCGCTACCACACCTGGCTAATTTTTGATTTATTGTAGAGATGAGGTCTCGCCAACGGTAGCTCAGCCTATAATCCCAGCGCTTTGGGAGGCCGAGGTGAGTGCATTGCCTGAGTCCGCGGGTTGGAGAGAGGTTTTTCATGCCCTGCAGCTGACATAATCATTAGCCAAAGCTAGCTCTGGACAACAACAGGATGCAACAGTAATGGATCCTAAAAGGAAAACAAGCTCACTGAATAACACAGGGACAGCTCTTGTGCCAAACTTGGGTGGACAAGATATAGGTCAGTGGGATGCAGTTTAATATCCATGTTGAAGTGAATTGGAGGATCTCTTTAGTTTCACAATGGAAGGAGCGAGGAAAAGGGAGTTAAATCTGGAATCTTAATCACTGAGAGATTTCTCTAAAAACAACTGGCAAGCAAAATGTAACAAGAGATTTTCATCACTGCCTTGTGGCCTTTAGCTCTGGATTCTGGCCTCTAGAAAAAAATCCAAGTGGCTCCACTTGAAAGACATGATGAGAGTAAAACAAATTGTTCATGTATCTCTAAAAATGCTAGATATGATTTTTATCACATGATCTAAACAGACTATTAATACTATACCCTTGCCTCTGCTCAGGGCTTAGTAAAAATATTCTAGATAGCTGGGGAACTCAGTCTCTACTTGTTCAATACTATAAATGTCGTTTATCTTGAATCCAAGCAAACAAGACTGAGTTGGGGGAAACTATTGCCAATGAGTAGACTCACATTTGTGATGAAATTGAAAGTATCAAAATGGAAACAGGGATGCACTACCTCAAGCCCCTGCTCAAGGAAGAACTCGTCGCCTCAAGGGAAGGGGAGCTGTCAGGAGAGAGCCTGCAACCATCAGCTGCTTCAGGGCCTGCCTCAGCTGAAAAGAATTCCCTTGTCCAAGGGGATGCCCTTCCCTGGGTGGCCCATTCCCACCCACTGGGGGTGACAGGAGTATAAAGACCTTGACTTCAGCAGGGATCCCTAATAAATATCCTGCAAGCCAAACTCCAACTCAGTGGATGCTCCTGAAGAACCAGATTGCAACAGGCTGTTACTCTCCTGGAGAAAAGAGGTCACTTTCTAGAAAATATATTGAGCCACCATATAGGCAATTTGCTCTTATTGAGATGGAAAATGCTACTTGTCCCTGGGATTCTACTTGAAAATTAAACATTTCAAAGGTCTGGAGAAGAGAAATGCTAAATTTGCTTTCGACTCCTGCAGTCCTCGCTGAGCCTTGCTGAGATCCTCCAGTAGGACTAACAACTTCCTAGGCAGTGAACAGTCCTGGCTAAGAGAAAAGGCTCTGGAACTAGACTGCCCAGATTTTTTACTGGTTCTATCACTTATCAACTGTTTAACTTTAGGAAATTTATTTAATGTCTCTAAAACATTAAATAAATGTTGGTTCCCTCCTCTGTAAATGAGGATAAAAATAGTAAGTACATCATAATTTAGCTGTCTTGAGGGTTGAATAATTTACCATATGTGGCACTTGGAACCCAGCCTGACACACAGTAAGTGCCCAGACATGTCAACTAGGAGCAAGTGTGAGAAGCCATTGTTCAATGAAGAGACGTGGAGGTGACTGTAAGGAGAGGTACTGCTAGGTCTTCCAAAGCAGGTCTCCTCCAGAGCTCCAAAAATGACTATCTAGTAACTGCTTCAGAAAAACACCAAGGGAACCTTGTAACTATCCCCCAGTCTCCAGTATTACTAATTAGCTGGATTAAGTGCTTTTGTGTTTTCACTATAACTCTGCCTCACTGTAAAAAACATTCTACAAAATATACCTCTGTTCTGAGAAAAGCTAACCTTGAGGAGAAAAAAGCCATGTTTCCGAAAGAGGTAGAACTAGAGTTTCTTGATTTGCAGAACAATGCTACTTACCAACATGTTAGGAAATGCCAACACTTGGCCCTAAAGACTGATGGGCAAACTTTGGCCCACCAGTCAGGTGCGCCTTCCCTGCTCTTGCCAGCTTGCATTTCTTCTACTTCCAGGTCAATGCCTTAGGAAGACTTGGGCTCAGTAAAGGCCTTGTTCTCAGGCAACCATGCTCCATTGAGAAGCAAATACACAGACACAAAGGAAAGGAGACTCTAGCCCTCTGCTCTGGCAAAAGGTGAAAACTGTGACTGGGGCCTGAGACCCTTAGTAAGTGGGATAAACTCACACTGAAGGGCAGTTTGGGAAACAGCAGCCCCTTGACTTCATGCCAGCACCTGGGGGGTGGGGGTGGGGGATGAGAATGTTATCATCTGTGACTGCCTGCTCTTCTGAGGAGTATCAGTGTGCTTGGCCCGCTTTGCTCTGCAGGAAGCCAAATTAATTAATGCAGACTCATTTTAAAGTTCAGGAAGATAAACAGGTAAGTGCTCTCTCAAGAAGACAATCACTGGAATTAATATATGATTTATAAAATTTTTTAAAACTGACATTTATTGAGAAGTCTGTGTCAGATATTTATATGCATTAAGTCATTTAAGCCCCTCAAAAACCCTATGAAGTAGGTATTAGCTTATTTTAGAGATGAGCACATTTAACAGTTAGAAGTGAATGAATGTTACCAAGTTAACTGGCTAGTTAATGACAGAACCTGCTGGACTCTGTGCAGGCTAACTCTAGGGCTCAAGCCATCACTCTCTCTCCTTCCCTCCCTTCCTCCCAGCATTCTGTCCATCTTTCTGCTCTCCTTTCTGTATTTACTGAGCACCTAACGTGTGCCACCAAAATCTTATCCCTGCATTCCAAACTGACTTCAAAATGAGTAGGAATATCACTTCTTATAGACACAAAGAGTGTTTACAAATCCTCAGTTACAAAACTTATATTCTGCTTCAGATTTACATTTAAGAAACAAGCAAAAGCAAAGAAAAATCATGAATTTTACACAGTCAGATGCTGAATAAATATTTGGGGTTGGCAGAGGCAGGACCCAGCCGCCACATTTCTGACATTCATCAGACCCTTCTATGGGTTAACACTTTTGCCACTAGAGATGTCAACCAGTGATTATTTTCATGGCTACAGTAACTACACAAAAGGAAAAGTCTTGCTCAGTCTCTGATCATCAGAGAAGAACACCTAAGAATAATTTTTCCTGCGTCAATGCTTTGTCAGCCTTTCCTTAGAAACCAAATTTGTGCTAAACACTGCAAGACAAATCTCAGATGAATAATGCCTTTCCTCTTCATCTTTGGAAGAAGGTCAAGTTGCAGTTCAAGAAAGAACTGGAAGTGTTAGACCATGGGAGAACCACTTCCATCTGGAGTGGCCTCAGGACTGGACATGCCTGAAAAACTCTGGTTTTCACCAATCTTCATTCAGCACATACTTACAGTTCTCCTACTATTTCTTAGGTATAGTTCCTCACCTACAAGGAACTTACAGATAAAAGGACTCCCATGTAAACATAACAGGTGCTCAAGAAATTTGGCTTTGTAGTCCAGTTAGAAAAAAATTTGGCTCTAATTTAATATTAGGCCTGAACAAATTAAATTACAGTTCTGCAGTAGTTTGTTATAACCTAGAGTCAGACCATTCTGGTTCTTACCCATAGCGTTGGGCTTGGATGGAACAACTGTCATTAATTACAGGATCAGGCCTTCTCATGATACAGTTTCCAGGTCAAACTGTCTTTGGAAAATATATCACTACTCCTAAATCCCCCTGTGAATAGAGCAAGACTAAGTGACCCCAAATAGGAAGTACTTCTTATTATCACTACCACAAGGGGGAAAGAGGCTCTGAAGCAGAGGATTAATAGGAAAAGATAATATATTTAAAAATAAGGAGTCCAGTGAGAAGTGGCTCCATGTCTGCTTACGAAATTTGGTAAGTCTTATGCAAGCCAAGCTAAAATATTCCAGACACCAATCCCATGCAAAGGTTTCCAAAGTCAAAATCTATGGGATTAGAAAGCCTAGGAAAGAATCAATTACACATATGAAACAAAAGCCTGGAGTTGAGCAGCCCTTGTTAAATGGCAAGTGTAAGTGTGGTTCCTCGGAGAAATGTGCTACACCGTCATCTCTGCCCTTCCTACAAGACCAGAAGGTGGGAGTGCGTGACAAGAAAAAGGATTCACAGGTCTTCTAAGTGTTTAAAAGTCAAGTTGATAGGGCTGTACTTCATGAGACCAAGCCCTATTCTGATGAAATAGGCAATTTGTAAGATAAAACAGATACAACATACAGTTTGGGAAATTAAAGTCTTACATTATGTGAATACAGATTAAATAGGATAAAGGCACAGAGACCAAATTTTGAGTTCATCTTCAACTTGTCCAATCAGAACATTCACAATGTACTCATATAATAAATACCTCCTGACCCATCACTGACAACTGGCTAATTATAGCCATCTTTAGGCTTATGGACTACAGTTGGGTCCACAGGAGTCAGAACACCTGGTACTACAAACTCTGGCTCCTAACAAACCTTCAGTTTGGGAAAGCCACCTCACTTCCCCTTGGGCCTCAGTTTCTTCATTTGCAAAACGAAGGTACCGGGTAAGCAGCAAATCCGTCCCTGAGTACTCTAGCTAATTGCAGGAATAAAAAAGACAGATAGGGCACCTGGGGACCCTGCTCATTCTGAGAGTCTGTCCGCAATTCCTGTGTTTTTCTTGCCTCATGGAGCAGAAGTAGTGTTTCATAAGAGCACCACAGCTGCACTGAATGATAACAAAAAAAACAACCTGATCTTTTTTCATTTGCCCGCACATAGCTCATTACGAAAGAGTAAGTGATAGTGTTCCTATCATGCGCTTAACTCTGCACTCCCTGCAGAGCCTCTCAGCTTTAT